GGTGGAGGTGAGGGTCTGGTAAGAGTCAACGCGTCATAGGAGCTGTGGAAAGCTTACCGTAGGCATTGCGAGGGAAAAGAAAGGCGAAAGGGATGTCCGAAGGTGAAGAAAATATAAGAAGGTTGATTATGGTTATTGCGGTCCCTGTCCTTGTCGTCTGGTCAGCATTCCAATGAAGATATTCCCTTGGCGAGTGGAGCTTTAAAATACCAACGGCTTGGGGAACCACTCAAGTCTGGACAACGCGTGAATATTTGACTAACCTTAGCAACGGGAGATAATGCAAGGTGTCAGGAGTAGGATTGGAGGGGAGTTGAAAAGGATTTGGCGTGAGGAAGGCTTAAAGTAGGGACATATATGACTTTTGTTGACGCTGTTGACCAGTGATCCGGATCACGTTAATTGCAACGGCGCGCTCCTCCAGGTTAAGATCTGTACAGTAGAAGATAATAGACCATAAAACACAGATGGTGATGATCAATGACGCGAGGAATGCAGGTTAAAGTGGGTTTTGGTCCTCCCTTAAAAGTCAGGATCCCCGTTCGAGGAGGTGTTTGATGGGGGTGGTTGGCAGAGAAAGAGGTGGTAAACTTGACAGGGCACAGAGGATGTTTGGCCCTACTCTTAGCGCGGAAATCGGTCAACCTGAGAGAAAAGATGCCCCACAGCACCACCCAAGCCAGTGAAGTCGCGTGGAATGGTGGATTATCAAACCAAAAGTTATCCTGTACAGCGTAACGTAATTAAATGGCGATTATATGCAGATGCCAGCAAACCCGTCGAGTTGCTGTTCTCCGACAATGTATTATGAAAAAGTTATGTACGCGATGAAAAAAGTGGAGAGACGCGGGAAGAAAGGGAAAAGGGAAGCAGAAGTGTTGTCTTGGAAAGGAGGAAGAGAGAGTTCGAAGGGAAAGATGCAGAAAGGGGGATGCAAGCGTAATAACTACTGCGAGACGACCCCGACTGAGGTCATGCAAGTTCTGTTCCAGAGACTGATAGCACCGTATGTGTATGTATGGAGACGATGATTTGGGCCACGATTGATCGTGAATCACACCAGAAATAGCTGGTAACGATACCGTCACGGCCGGAAAGCATAAGTCACTGTGGTGGAGGGAGCAGATCGTCATCCATGGTCGATGCCTGAACTCGGCCAGGCAAGAAGACGCCGTCGCGAGAAAAACGTGAGGCGGCGCGGCCACGACTCCCCAAACAATGCCCCGTTGCCCGGCAACCACGGGTTTTCTTCGCTTTTGGGTTCTCTCGCCCGACGTGTTACCGTGTCGCGGCATCCCGTGACCAGCGCTTCCTTGAGCCACAATGGAGAATACAGTGGCGGTGCAGTTCCCAATCACGTGGATGGGCGCAAGCCACAGGAGCAGCCCAAGCCCGAGAGACAATTTTGCTCCGCAACAAAAAGAGTCGGCCGACGACGTCTCATCACCGGCCATTGACAGCGCTCCGATTGGGCTTTGGGTGGTGTCCTAGTCAATTTGTTACCGGTGTTTTGATCTTTACCTTTTTGTCCAAGCAGGCATGTGTAAGCAGTAATCCGTTGGCACATTGGCATACACTGTTGCGAAGGCTTGCGGTCCTACTTGGAACACTTTCCGCCGGATCAATTCTTGGGGTTTCCGTCTGAATTTCTCTCTAAATACTCCCCTACCTCATCATGCTTCAACCCAGATTGGCCTTGACAGGCCTTCGTCTTCCGTTCAGATGCCTATCTTCGGTGTCTTCTAGGTCCTACTCAAGTGTTGTGCCCGAAAAAGAGACCCCCCCGTCGGAGTCTTCCACGTCAACCTTCGACCCAAGCATTGCTTTTGCTCCCCCTCCTACGCGAGATGATGCAGGAGTTCAAATTCGATCTTATAAGCCCCGGACTCCCGGTATCCGGCACTTGCGGAGACCGATCAACGATCACCTTTGGAAAGGACGACCAGTACAGAAGTTGACGTTTCCCAAGCGAGGACAAAGTAAGGGTGGCCGTAACAACACTGGTCGAGTAACCATCCGGCATCGTGGTGGTGGCCACAAACGCCGTATCCGAATTGTCGATTTTGCACGAACCGCTCCTGGTCCTCATTTGGTGGAACGGATTGAACATGACCCTGGGCGAAGCGCTCACATTGCGTTGGTCCGCAGCCAAGAAACCCAGCGCCTGAGCTACATTCTGGCCGCGGAAGGAATGAGAGCTGGCGATGTTGTTCAGAGTTATATGTCTGGTATCCCGGAAGACCTGTGGAAAAGTATGGGAGGTGTCGTCGATCCTGGTGTGCTCGCCGCAAGGACTGCTTGGAGAGGAAACTGCTTGCCATTACACATGATTCCCGTTGGTACGTTGATATTCAATGTCGGCTTGCGGCCGAATAAGGGGGGCCAGCTCTGCCGTAGCGCCGGTACTTTTGCAACCGTTATTGCGAAGGGCAGCAATACTCAGGCTGCACAGAACGAGCAGGCTCAAGAAGAGGGTGCCGAGGAAAAGAAACCCTTGTCCCAGCGTGAGCAGCAGAAGCAGGAACGTATTGCAAAGCATATCACCATTCGTCTCCAAAGTGGTGAAGTCCGCCTGATTCATAAGGATTGCTGCGCGACCGTCGGCGTTGCCAGCAACCCGAACTACCAGTACAGCCAACTCGGAAAGGCTGGCCGATCGCGCTGGCTGAACATTCGCCCCACTGTCCGTGGTCTTGCCATGAACGCCATGGACCATCCCCATGGTGGTGGACGAGGAAAGTCCAAGGGTAATGTTGATCCGAAGAGTCCTTGGGGTCTACCGGTATGTGTTCTACCCTTGATCGATTAATATCTGCGTTTGATGCACGTGGGACTGACCTTTTCTGTTTAGGCGAAATCCGGCTATAAGACTCGTCCCAAGTGGAAGGTCAACAAGGCTGTGGTTGTCCCCAGAGTCCGGAACCAGGGCAAGCGTCGTAGAGGATACAGCTAAACGTATCGCCGCCGTCCTTCTTTCGTCTCTTTCTCCTCCCTTCTACGCAAGTACGACTATGCTTCCTTTGCGAATAGTGCCCACGAAGGCTTGATTGCTGCTATTTCCTGCCCAGCCACTATCGCTTTCATGATGTCTCTCCGGATTCCTTTTCTCATTGTGCTTGCTTTCTTTGGGACTGCATGGAGATGACAGGTTCGTTCATCTTGTACTATACATCAGCTCTACATCGGTCGTAGGGTGTATGATTTTGAATGCTCTGGGGAGCTCTTCATGTCTCTCTTGCTGTTCGGGCTTTTGCGACCATGTTTCTCCAGTGCTGCTCGCCTGTCCTATACCGTGGCGTTGATTTTCTGTATTATATGCATTCAGTATCTAGATCCAATATGGAATATGGAATATGGAAATAGGTTTCTGCTCTAGTAAATCTGTTCGTACGAATTGAGGTGATCTCAATTCTCTGCCCTAGATTCAGGATCAAAAGCGCTCCGTTCGGGATGCATGGGACATGCGAGCTCTGATAGGTGCGGCGAAGACTACGTAAGCCGGAGATGCCTGGACTCTTCCAGAAAGAGTAACGGCTAGAGGACGTACTTATCGTCCTAAGACTACGAACTAGACTACCGATACCAACTCCGATATGCAAATGACGTCCTACGCTCGCTGATAGACCACTCATAAATGCCATTTCTCTCCTTCGTACGGAAAGTGATGCGGCTGGTTTGATTCCCGTGTACAGCACAACAGTCATTGCAAATCTGCGGTCTTGGTGGCGCTGGATTCGAACAACACCAAATCCATCTGATCCAGGTCAACATAATTTTGTCTAAACAACCATCCTCCCGGGTGATGGATCTGGAACGCCTCTGATACTTTTATGATCTTTGGTTTCTCTTATCGTCTAATGCCCCTGGCGCTACCGGTCACTGATAGTTTCGTTATTGGGGTTTGGCACCTCCTATCAGCCGACGGGTATCCAAGCTCTACTTAATCGCAATCCGAATTAAAGTCACTATCCGATCTTCTCCCTTCACAGTCCATTGTACCGCTCACAGGCCATGGCGGACTCTCTCGACGGGCCTTTCTTTCCTCCAACCTCCCAAACCTCCTCAACTCAGCCACTACATACTTCGATGGATCACGATACTGCATCGGCTCATGCAGGGCACATCGATCCGGACAGTTCCTACGTTCCCCGCCCGAAGCGCATTGCATGCGTCGTCTGCCGACGAAGAAAATTAAGATGCGACGGAAGGAAACCAAGCTGTGGTACTTGTTCAAGGTTGGGACATGAATGTGCGTACGATGAAGTGCGCAAGAAAAGCGGTCCAAAGCGGGGTTATGTGAAGCAGTTGGAGGCGCGGTTAGGTATGTGACAAATGGTTGTACTCTGTCCATGCGTTCGTTAAGACTGTTTCGGTGCTAATGCTGTGCTCTCACCAGCACAAGTCGAAACCTTACTGAAGACGCAGGAGGTAAACCCTTCCCAGAACAGCCAAGGGAATAGCGCCAACATCGCAGCACCGAAAGAGTTCGTCGGCATCCCGGAGGCGGTCCCGTTCACAAACAGTATTGATGCGCCTAGGTCATCCCCCGAAGGCGAAATCAACAATATTCAGTCAAACGATACATTCTTGGCACCAGGACTAGATCGCACGGGTAATTTTGGGTGGGACATGATAAGTTTGGGGCTGGAAGAACCTCTGCCTGACCGAGAAATCATTGACGAACTGTATGTATTGGGCTTGGTATCAAATCCAAGGATTTTGAGCCGTGCTGATCATATCATGACAGAAATAACATCTACTTTGAGAAAATCCACCCTTATATGCCCATCTTACACCGTCCCAGGCATTTGGCAGCTATGGATCTAGCTCCAAGCGTACGACCTCCCGTGTGTTTGCAATACATTACCTGGTGCCAAGCTGCGTCTGTCAGCGAGAAATATTCAAATTTACATGCGCTTTTCTACCAGCGAGCCCGAAAATACGCAGAATTGGACGAGATGAAGGGACTGGGAGAGAGCATCTTGTCTTTGCCGTACTGCCAAACTTGGTTACTTATCGGCACATATGAATTTCGAATGATGTTCTTCCCGCGGGCATGGCTCAGTGTTGGTAAAGCTGCAAGGTTAGCACTCATGCTCGGCTTGAATCGATTGGATGGTATGGGTCTTGAGGTAAAACAGTCATTACCGCCAGCAAGAGATTGGACAGAGAAGGAAGAACGACGGAGGGTGTTCTGGATGGCTTTCTGTATCGACCGTTTTGCAAGCGTCGGGACCGGATGGCCAGTTCTTATCGATGAGAGAGATGTTAGTGATGCATCTTCTAATATTCTTTCCTGATATTCTTCAAAATTTCAATAGCTGACCCTGTCTGAGTAGGTCAAAACGAACCTACCTGCTACCGAAGAAGCGTTCGTCAAGAACAAACCGCAGAGGACTCTACGCGTTGAGGACATTCTGGCGGGTGATGGACTCTCCACCTTGTCGTCGTTCGGGAGTGTTTCTTTCATGGCCTACATGTTTGGACGGAACCTTTCCCACCTGCATCGTCCTGATCCTCAAGACAATGACCATGACTTGAATGGGCTGTATTGGCAGCGGCACAGATCGCACGATAACGTACTACTACACTTTGCCCTAGCAATGCCCAACCATCTCCGACTGCCAGCTGGAATGTCTGATCCCAATGTCATCTTCTGTAACATGGCGATCCATACTTCCACAATATGCCTTCATCAAGCTGCTATCTTCAAGGCCGAGAAAAACAGGATGCCTGAACAGATCATCACAGAAAGTAAACGAAGATGTATTGTCGCCGCTGATCAAATCTCTAATATTATGAAGATGATCAGCCACATGGACCTGACGGCCGTAAGTCTCAGGAAACAGTTGTCATTATGCTATTGTCATGGACTAATCGATTCTAGTTAAACCCTTTCATGTCATACTCTGTCTATGTCGCTGCGCGCGTCTTCGTACAGTATCTCAAATCCCGCCCCGACGACTCAGCTGCTCGTTCCTCTCTCGGATTTGTCTTCACCGCACTCGATGCGATGAAGAATAAGAACCCCTTGACCGAATCTTTCCTTGTCCAATTGGACGTCGATATTGAAGGTACTCCATTCCGAGACATTCGACAAGCAAAAAGGCCCCGTATCACAAACGTGCCAAACAAGGTAAATCTCCGCATAGAACGATCTCCCAACATCACAATCTCTAATGATCAACAGGGTCGTGGCTGTACCCCCCTCGTACCATTAGACCAATCCCAAAAGCAACAATCTCTATCGGCTGGCCCACAGCAAAACTACTACACGCCCTCATCTCTCCCCTCTCGTGAAGAGCAGAGTCTTCCACAACTACAGAACAGAAACCCTCCTTCAGATTCTTTCGCGAAATCACCGTTTAATCTCAGCTCGGGAACTGAATCCGGACCAGGGACTGACACAGGTCTTTCGCCTGAGTTCACCGACAAGAGTTCGAACAATAGTCCAGCATCAAACGATCCATCAATACTAAACCCGACTACCATACACGACCCGTCTTCTTCCACCTACATGCCCTTGGATCAATCCTCGCCTCTAAAGCAGCAGCTATCAACCTCATCATCTCTCAATCAAGCCAACCATCAACAATCACACCCCTCTCTCGACACTAGTAGCGCAGTAAACATGAGTATGGGTACCGGCCCATTTGGCGCATTTGATATCGGCTTCAATTCCCAATTATATCCAACGGGCATGGTAACCCCCCTCGACTCTAACGGTTCGGAAGGGTCGATTCCCATGCCCACGTGGGATTTCGGCGCGCCTCAAACGTCGAACGGCGAAAATGTCGACATGATCACTACCGGCATGGAATCATTAGAAGCACAGTGGGCACAATTACTAGGTTCAGGTCCAGGTACAGGCACAGGCACGGGTTGGGACTCATGGCGAAATCAAGCATAGGTTAGACTAAATTTCCGGTTTGCACCCTAATTTTTTGTATACTTCTCAATACCCCGGTTTGAAGCGCGGCGCGTTGGTTATATGAAAGTCATGTGGAACAATATAAAGATATATTCATTAGCTTAAGGCATGCGAGGCCAATATCAATCAACAATACTCCCGAAATGAACACAATTAGATACTCCACGGCCCTTAAACAATGTTGAGCAAGAATAAGCAAGCGACAAAGGGTAAGAAAAGGAAAGGAAAGATAGACAGAAACAATAATGCTAAAGGATAAGAGCAAAGCTAGCGAGTGCATGCTTAGCACTGGCTGGGGAACTGTCTGTCATCAGGGGAGGTAGGGAAAACGCCAGCAGTAAGCAAATCACTCATATCCCAACCAGGGGCACCTTCAGTCTTCCAGGTCCAGAACAGCCAGCCGCTCTTGAGCTCAAAGGCGTCCAGCTGGGCCTCAATGAAACGGCGCATGTTCGACCGTTCATCCTCAGAGAGGTTGGCCACAGTACCGCTTTCCAGGCTAGCGCAATCGCCAAGAGCTGTACCAGTGATATAGGAGCCATCATAGCGAGCGCCATTGCCCTTGCCATTGAGGTATTTGGTACAGTCGGTCACAGCACCAGTCCACTCGCCCACAATGACAGGCTTGTCAGAAGCTTCCAGGTGCTGGTGAGCAAAGTCGCAGACGGCACTGACGTGGCCGTCGATATCCTGGGCGATGAGTCCGGTGTCAAACATATGGTAATGGTGTGTGTCCATCACGACCTTGCTGCCCTCGGTCTTGTAGCCGTTCCAGCTCTCCACGGGCAGGAAACCATCACCGTATACCACAGATGTGCTAGCGCTGTACTTGTTGACGATACCATAAACGGAGCCGTAGTACTCTTGCAGCTTGCCCTGGTCTACTCCACCAGGAACGTTGGGCTCGTTGACAGCTTCGATGGCAGCCACGGTGTCGGAGCCAACATACCGCTCGGCCAACTGGTCGAAGGCATCAAGGGTCTGTTGAACAGTGTCCCCCTGTTGCCATTGGATGGCGCCCCTCCGACCGCTGTTGTCGAATCCATTTTGAGATCCCGGTGCTGGTTATATTATTAGCCAGGCTCAGACTCCCTTGATATGTTTTAGTCCAAAGGGTACTTACCACCGTGCAGGTCGACGAGGACTTTGAGGCCCGCTGCCCCAGCCCACTCTACCGCTTTGTCAAGGTACTCCAGCTGACCATCCACGTAAGGGTCTCCTTCGAGGGGCCCAAGAGCCCAGTAGCCGATGGGGATTCGGACATGGTTCAGTCCGGCATCAGCCATCCGCTGGAAATCGCCCGGGGAGACGAAAGACTCCCAGTGAGCAGACAAGCGTGCCTTAGCCTCATCCTTGCCCAGGATCTGAGTCAGTGACCACTCGTCGACGGCCCCTTCACCAGCTTCATCGAAAATCGAAGGTGTAATCCAAGGCTCAAGCACAAGCCATCCACCAAGGTTGACACCGCGGACTTTCTCGCCATTGTAATCGAACGAACTTGCGCGAGGGTTCAGGCGACTGTTCTAATTGTAAGAGGCTATGTAGAGAAAAAGGGGTAACATCACAGTTATACTGACATAGTTGCAGCTTGCGTGCCAGCTGACAGCAAACCAAGCACTAGAAGTGCCTTGTTTGAAAGTCTAATGAACATTGTGTTTGAACACTGTCGATCTCTGATGCTGATCTTTAGGAATAAATAGGAGGCTGGGGTTGAGAGTTGAGAGATTGTTTGCTTTGGTGAGTTGTAGCGTCAGTTGGAATGGAAATCACCTGGTTTAAGTAAGGAGTGCTCACAAGCTGGTTTCAACCACCGGACGCAACCAACAGATGACCCTAAACAAACACAAAATTTGGACAAAGTCCAGACTCGCCCACTGCGTTCGGGCAATGCCGATCCCAGATCTGACCGAGCATCGAGAGATGGATCCGCGTAGTGGCGTTTGTGACAGCTCCGAAAACAGGATGTAAGGATAGAATTATAATAAAATAACGTGTACTAACACCACAACAAAGGCATTCTTCTCCCGGTCCTCGTCCAGGAACGTCGTGGGGACGACCGCGCCGGCGTCCCAGAACGACAGCTCTATCGAGGGATTCCGTCTGACGGAATCCGGGGCGGACCCATGGGATATCAGGAGCATAGGGTCACGTTGACGAGTGCGGAGTTGTTGAGCGCTATGTGGAGTCATAGATGATGATGAACCCCATAGTATTCGCGGTGAACAACGGTTCCATGGGTCCTCTGGGGATCTTTGATGTCGGATCCGGGGAAGAGCGACCCTTAGTAGGGTTTACGTTCCAGGGACGCGACGCCCACCGGGTACCTGATCGGGAGTCCACAGCCGTCACCGATAGCATCTTCACCTCCTTCAAAGCAGACAAGGGAGTATAGAAGGATTCTGGCTGGGTTTATTGCCCAGTATGTGTCTAGACTCTTTCCAAAAGGGTGACCACTGACTCGTCATCTCGTAATGCGGACAATCGTTTGTGGGGCCGTGGGAACAAATATCGGGGTCTTTGGGTACACCATGCCTGTGAGAGCGTTTCTTGTGGTCCAGTACCGCATTCGGACAGGATGAAGACAGATTCATAAACATCACAGAGGATCAAAAAATATGGGGTTGAGCTTGAGGGTTACGAATCACTGCCGGATTCGGAAGTCATCACGTGGTGCATGGCACACGTGCATTCTCCATGACCAATGCAGACCCTACTTTGAAGTCTTTGATATTGATATCGCGTGGATATTACTCTGGTATGGCTCAGGCACAACAAACTGTTGACCGACCTTGCAAACCGACTTATCTACATTCAACATTGAATCCCTGTTGTCCGTAAAAGAGAGCCCAATACCTCCCTATAGATACTACGTGTTGAAAGGCCATGGCATGTCATTACCTTCACACCCAATCTTTGGCCCCCCAACACTGAGGAAGACCTTGTCGTTCCGGAAACACCTTGCCAGCACCCAAATGGGCGTGGAAAACTGCGCTTCCCACTCCATCTCAGTCTCGTCAGGTCTGTCGAAGTATTTAAAGCTCCAAGACGTCAGGCCACCTCCAACACATTTCTTCGCTTGATCGCGGAGTTCTTGCCCATGGTCAAGACTAGCCCACAATCTACCTCTGACAGTATATCTTGACCAAAGTCCTTTATACCATCCCTCGCATAAGCCGCTGGGGTTTCGAACCGGCCAGGGGCGCCTTATGCGGCCCACCTTTAGTTCATATGTGTATCTCCCCTTCTTCCAACTGCCCCCGTGCTTGAGGTTGAGTGGGTTTTCTGGACGATATAGGTCGCATCCGTGAATGATTTTCAGGAAGCTGTTGAGGCATTCTTGCTTGCTAAACTGTATCGCTCCCTTCGTGAGGCTTATAGAGTACTTGTGCTCTTCCGGGGTACCCTTGTAGAAAACACGCTCGTCCTGCCAGTTCGGCTGGTCCTCGGGCGGTTTGACTTCGTTGCAGTATGTCTGGTAGGTCTCATCCAGCACGTGGCTCTGGACGTAATGACTGAGTAAGTCGCCCTTTTTCCCATTCCCCTTGCAAGAGAAGTGGTCGCGCTCCTCATCGTCGCAAATCGGATTCGGCACGTCCAAAAATAACGCCCGTGCCGAGATGATCTCGTTGAGAACGAACGATGCAATTGTGAGGTGGCCCTTGTCATTGGGGTGGAACCACTTTCCCCATCGATTTGGGAGTTTCGATCCCCAAGAGCGCTTGTCGAGAAATGCCTGGCAGCCCCCCTCATCTCGAGTAACTGGGTTTCTGTCGCTGAGCAAGTGTATGGCTTCCGTCGCAGGATTCGCACTTGTGTCGAGCGGATCATAAAGGCTTCCGTTGGCCCCATAGCTGACCTCAGGCTCCAGTTGACCATTGCCTACTGTCATGTCCCTCCTTTTGACCTCATCATGTATGGCTTTCTTTTTCGTGTCTGGCTTGAAAAACTGCAAATTAGGCTGTTCGGGGTCGGGGTATTCCCCAGTAGACCCAGGCCAGCAAAACTGCCCAGCAACCCTAGGTTCAGAGGCCCAGCCGTCCCAATCTGCAAAGCGTAGCCTGTACTTCACACCTCTCTCTCTCATCTTGTCGATGGTTTTTTCAATTCCCATGTTGGTGATCTTGACCAATTCATTATATTCTTTTCGCCTCCTCAGGTCCACCGGCAAACTGTTGAACGGACCCCCGATAGCAGGAAACGCCCAACTGTTATGCCTTGCGCAGTCATCTGTCTCGGTATCGAGGTCATGGAAGAACTGAGCATAGCTAGCAAAGACCACCACGCCAGAGTTTGGATTCATATGCTTTTCAAGCTCAACCAGGATGGATTCGAGGGCCGGCTCTAGGATGTATTCCGCGTTGGTCTTGGCTCGCTTGATAGCCGACTCACAGCTCTTCTCATTGTACGCAAGAAAGATACAGTCTTTCAGAACATCAATCTAGCAAGTTTTTTCATCTTAGTTTCGCGTGCACTTCAGCAAACGTGTAAGCAGACTCAGACACTCCTCACCAAGCAGAGGTCGTTTCCCCCCGCAGTCAGCACGACCAAATCCATATCATTGTCTAGTTTCTTGGCTTGCTCAAGAATCTCGCGTGATTTGGCACCGGTGCAGGCCAGCCATTGAAACTTCTCTGCGGAGACTCCCACGGCTCGCTCGAGCATTGCGACATACGATCGATCGTACCGGGCACATTTGCGCACTTCGTCGGTCGTATCCCACAGCCGGCCGGCTCCAATCCCAGCAGTAAAGCTGTCGCCAATAGCGCCCCATTTCCGGATCCAGTGCATGTCGGTGGGGTCTTTCATTGGGTCTCCGCGGGGAAGACGCTCGCCCCGAGGGCTGACGGTGTAGTCGAGGCTCTGGCTAGCATTCCCACTGAGGGCATGGCCGCCGAGGGATCCCATCAACAGCGACAGTGCCAGCAGGAGCATGGTCAGGGCTGCCATTCTGAAGAAGATCTGGTTTAGGTGAGGTAAATACAAGGGACACCGTTCATCAAAAGAGACAATCTGGATCTGAGGATACGCTCCATGGAACATGAATGGGGAGGAAGGGAGGGCACTCTCAGAGCCAATATAAAGATTTATATAATGTAGCCCATTGAATATGAGTGAATATACAGATATACAGATAGCGGGAACTTGTACCTCAATGAGCTCATGCCCACTGTGCCGTGAATCAAAGAACTAATGATGGTGAATGGTGTATCTATGTATATCTTACCCCGCTAACCTGCACACCATTGTATAGCTTCGAAGTGCAGTCTAGAACCTGGATTTTGCCACATTGACCTGCACTATCTCGCTCCTTGTTAGAAATCATTGTTAGATTATGTACCTCGGCATAGACAAGAGTGCACCTGACAATGCTGCTTTCAGACAGAATGAACTTGTACGCATGCGTTATACATGAAGCCTATATTTCTGCGATAGGAAGCAATTCACCCCGACTACGGAGAGTATATGTATTGGAAATGAACATTTAGACAATATCATGTTAAACACTGCACTTCAGACTTCATATCCTGATGCTAGGAAGCGCAAGATAAAGCAGCATATCTACTCCTTCTTCTTCGGGCTCCCCTTCTTTGAGCCTCCAACCCAAGTCCCGTTTGTCCCCTTTGGCCAAGGTTTACCGAAGCAAGGCCTTGGTCTGTACTTGCCATCACTAGTCCATTCTTTCTTCTTCCTCGACGCTTTCCCCAATGCTTCCACGAGGGTGCCATCATCCAGGTCAACAGCCCAAACCATGGTCCCTCCCAGACAACGCTTGTTGGCGAAGTCGACCTTGAGCTTCAGCGTTTGGACATCATCCCAGCTAACCCACTGAGTGCTATTCCACGTAGCGACCTTCACTGCGGCATCTTGATAAAAGGTGACAGTAGCACCCTTCCCCAGGATTCCGTGGATCTCTGTTGCCGAAATAACCCCGGGCACATTGGTACATTCTCCAGCGGGGGCCTCTCCCTCCTTGAAGACACAGCCAGGGGTCATGCAGTTAGGGTCTGCCATGGTGAAGCTCCGTCCGTAGAAACCCAGTCCCATCACAACCCGTGCGGGATTGATGTTGTTGCGCCAGAGAAGTTCGAGACCCAGATTAATCTCTGTCAGGTTGGTATGGGCGTAGGCATGTGGCCCAATCTCCTTCCCATGTGCGTCCCAGAGGCCATCTAAGAAAAAGAAGGGCAAGTTTAGCATCAGCATATGAGAATAACGCTGTAAGAATAGCCCGACTTACGTATATCATAGGTCATGACGTTAAACCAATCAATGTGTGGCTCCAAATTTGCAACATCAAATCCTTGAAGATACCAGTAGCTAGCCGGCTGCATCGCACAAGAGGTTAGCATTTTAGCGTTCAAGGACTCGAAGTATAACACAACATACCAAGGTTATGGTAAGCCCATAGTGCTTTGGCAATTGATCCAGCCGCTCTCTTAGTCGTTTCACTAGCGTGACATAGTTGGCAAAGTCCTCTGGTCTGCCGCCTCGATCGTCTGCGGTAGGATATTCCCAGTCGAGATCAACCCCGTCGAAGTTATTATGAAGCATAAAACTAATCAAGGAATCAAAGAACGTATCTTGTGCAGACTGTGAGGCAGCAAGGTCCGAAAAGGTAGTCCTAGTGGGACCTGGATCGTTGAAGTCCCAGCCTCCAATCGCAATATACACCTCGAGACCATTTTGGCGGTTTTTCAGCGCTGTGAGGGCTTTGTAACGCTTGGCAGTCGCATCTGTCATAGGAGCAATCCGGAAAGTCTTCGGATCAATCAGAGCAAAGGCGAAATTCAGGTGGGAGTATATCCCTAGAGGGATATCCTTGGGTTCCACCTCTGGAGCCATCGGGTCAGATCAGTAAAAGACATGGAGCTAGGAGCCGTAAGGACTTACGTCCGCAAGTTCTTCTCTCGGGGTTCCATGCTTCGTAGTATCCGATAGTCTTTGCCTTCGAGCTTTGCCCTTTACATTCGGGAGATACTACCTGTTTATCCCCGCAAAACTCTTTTGTGGTTCCTGCAGGATTCCCTTAGCTACGGTGGATCATTAGACAAGATCAAGGGAACAGGCGCTCTCACCGCAGAACCCATGCTTACTACAGCATACTTTCAAAGGGCAGGTAGTCCTATTAGACCATTCTTTACCCCAGCCTGCATCACATTCACTCTTTCGGTCGCAGTTAGAGGTACATTTTGATCCGCAAAAGTCAGGTCCAAAGCCACAGTAACCTGTACCAGTCGAGTCTCTGGGAGTATTGATCAGTACCTGCTGAGATTCCTAATCGTAGCAGTATTATAGCTCTCACATTGGTCCACAGCAACCCAGCCGGCAAGGCTTTGACTTAGAACAAGTCGTATCGTCGTTCGGGAGAGGCAAGAGCTGTAAGCTTGTGAACGCCAACGTCTTGATCACGAGCTGACAGAGGAATAAGAAGAAAAGACCGGAGGCTGATCTTTTGGGTAGCATGATGCCAGAAGGGACAAACCAAACTGAAGGGTTCCAGTGAGTATGTCTGAGAACTTGATTATATAAAATGGAAGCAGTGTCTCATAGTGGGAGGATGGAACTGTTTAAATACTCGGCTTAGTATAATTATGACTTCTTCTGGATGGCCCTCACATGCACCACCTTCTAGACTTCTTATTCACTTTCTCACCATACAGCATTCACTTTGTCACAGCACTGCAGCCAGTGGAGTCCAGGTGGTGGCAAATACCTATTGTTTGCGACTATTTAAGGAATACTGCTGTACGCCTCATCCCCCTTCTTTGCCTCGAATATTCCTGTTGAACCTTTCACCAACGAATCTGCTTGCCATCGTTCTGTATTAGCCAAATGATCCATAACTTCTCTAAGGGTATCAGCTCCTTACATTGAGTAAGTAAAGCTGGCCTTCCTCCCCCAGACTCCCAGTGTGTATTGATATATGTGGCAGCTCTCTATGAGAACTATGGCTACCGGGTTCGTCTTGAATCTCCTTTTTCTTCTCTCGTTGTTCTTTGCGTCTCTTAGCAACGCCGGTCACCCAGCCTGGGAGGCAGGCGCTACAACTGCCACAGCCGAATGGATACACATAGATCCATCTTGGGATTGGCCCACGTGGTATCGTGAGACCATTCAGTATTACTTCAACAGTCCAGCATCGAAAGAGAGATTGTCAAGTGACATCAGGGCCGCATGGCAACTCTGGCTTGCTGCAGGCTTGCCAGAGACCTTCAGATTTGTCGAGTTTCCCAAGTGGCGGTGCGAGCAACATCCATACAGTTGTTTGCTTATCGTTGGAGACGGGGAGGTACCGTCGGCTTATACCAGCCTTGGAAGGCAAGTCTCACATCCCTGGGATGCTATTACCATGTACTTGGTCTTTGAGCCGGGTGAGGACGAACACAGCAGGGCCCTGATAGCTGCCCACGAGATCGGGCATGCCTGGGGTCTCATCCATGAACATCAAAATCCCTTGTATTGGCAGTGGGCCTACTATGCAACCAGATCGGATTCACTATTTCGGTTTTATTGCGCGAATGTGCAAGGGTATGACGCGGTAGCGCATGAAATCAATAGTACTAGGGAACTCTGGGGCGAGAACGGCCCCTGTCGCAATTCGTTACGAGCTTCGGATATGGACTTTTATGCCTCCGAAATACTTCCATGGGCGCATCGATATCAATCACCACATCATTTGTGGCCTCAGGACTCTGACGTGGATTGGGACTCTATCATGATTTACGGATCTTACCTTTTCGGAGAGCTGGATGAGCATGGCAACCCGAAACCGACCCTTCTCCGGATGAAGGACCTTCAGGTTATCCCAGATCCTGACACCGTGACGGACCTCGACGTTGTTGGGCTGTTGCATCTCTATCATCCCAAATTTGGGAAGTTCCTGGATGTGTTTCACAACGAGCCATCTAGCCCTTGGTACACCATTTTCCAGGGGAAGATCAAGAGCTGTCCAATTAAGACCTGAGACAAGAGTTCTCCTTGACGCTTGTCCTGGGTGATACCTTCAATATCAGACGTAGCTTTGTCCATGTTATCCAGTATTCTTCACGATAGCTGCGTTGGTAATGCATTGCAAGACTCTGCAGTAGCCCACCGGAGGCAATTCACATGGCCAGTGGCGAGTATAGTGTGAATGTATGTACGATGCTTGCGAATCATGGTTCGTGAGGAATACTTAGTAGTGAATTGATATCATTCCTGCCAAATTCTCTCCCATAGAGTGAATGGCTCATTCACTGCATCCACGTCCAGTCAAAGAAGGTCTATCTATAAATACCGCCTCAGCTGCAGTCCCCTCGCTCAGACTATGCTTAAATATTCCCTCCCTTCATATACGGCAATAGAATTGGTGACCATGGCACCCTCCCAGTTGACTCTGTCTCTACTCCTCGTCCTGCTAACAACGTCTGGCAATGCTGCAAGCACCACCTGGGAAACGCATCCTTCTCACCCAACTTTGCCAGGAACCGTTCCCAACTGCAACAAATGGTACACTGCGAAGAAGGGCGATGACTGTTCCACTGTGCAGCGTGAATGTGGTATCTCGGCCGATGACTTTTTTCGTTGGAACCCGTCGGTCTCCAAGGACTGTAAGGAGAACTTTTGGGCAGATACATCGTACTGTGTTGGCGTAGGGCCAGCTATCACCACCGGAACACCAACCCCAACGGTCCCACCCTCGACGACGACTCCTACGCAGAGTACAGAGACTACACCCATCAGCTCTAGTCCAAGCAGCAATGGGACCTCCTCAGACTCTGCTCCTTCCAGCTCCCCAACAACCAAGGAAACCTATACGTTCAATCATCCCATTACCACCTGGACTCCCCCTTCGCCTACGCGAGAGACAGCATGGCCCCCGACCAAAACCCAGCCAGGCCAGCCCACATCGTGCACCAGATGGCATGAGGTGATGGTCGGGGACACCTGTGATACCATCACCAGCCGCTACAGCTCGTGGATCACGAAGGAAGACCTGTGAGTGACATGCCACCCCCCGTAGAACCGTTCGGACAGCTGATATCATACCCAGACTGGAGTGGAATCCGGGCCTTCAGGAAAACTGTGACGCCCCTCTCGTGGGTAATTTTCTATGCGTCATGACCAGACCGTCTGGCTACACGTTGACCTATCCAAATAATTCAACCCCGGTGGTCATCCCCACCCCTACGCCGTACACGCCCCCGCCTCCAGTGTGCCCTAATACCACCGAGACTTAGCTCACGCCCTCGCCAACCCAGCCAGGGATGCCCTCCAAGTGTCAAATATACTACCATGCGACCACTGTAAGCAACTCGAGCTCTCACCTTCGCTTATCCATTTACGGTTACTAACCTATACTTGCACAGGGGGACTCCTGCTCCAAGATACTATCGCAATATAACATGCCCGAGAAACTCCTGCATGAATGGAATCCGGCTCTTGGCCCAGACTGCAAGGGCCTACTGCCTAACTACTACTACTGTCTCCTTCCCGACGGGTTCAGGCCCATACCGCTCACTGTCACCACCGCCCCTGCGCCCACTCAAACCGGGATCGCCAGCAACTGCAAGGCTTGGTACCGGAGGAACCAGTCCGAGACGTGTTCCGACATCGTGCTCGCTTTCGGTGCCTTCTCGGAGGAGGACTTCAAGGCCTGGAATCCTGCCGTGGGTCAGCAATGTACCGGACTGATCGTAAGAACATCCACCTGGAAAACGTAGCGTCAACTAACCCCTGATTAGGATGGCAACTGGTACTGTGTCGCCGTGCCTGGCACTCCCACCACACGCACTGCATCAGTGCCAGCCTTCCCAACAAGCGTCCCGCGCCAGCCAAACGTGATCAAGAACTGCACGTCGTGGTGGCATGTATCTCAGTCAGTGGCCGACCCCTCATCCCACCATTCCCATTCTAGATTTCTAACCGCGCATAGTGAGGATGACTGCTACGACGTCGCCCGGAAGAACGGCATCACCGTCGACGAGTTCCTCGCGTGGAACCCAGACGTGCGTGCCGGGCAATACGACTGCAAGATCCTACCGGTCGACTACGAGGTCTGCGTGGGCGTGCGACCCAAGCCACCCATCCGCGGATGCACGCCAACGGCTGGCACGAACACCACCGCCCCAGCCAATACGACGGCAGCATATCCGACGACCAGGAAGTCCTGGTCCAGGACGTCCTGGCACAAGACGCTGACCACGACCACCGTTGTGACGAAATGCGAGGATGCGTCGTCGTCCACCTGCGCCACGGCAACGGTGACCACCACGAGAGTTGTGATTCTGTCTCCTCCCCCAACGGCCGCTCCGCCTCCTACTGGTACCACCACCACCACATTCGTGACCTCCCCGACGAACTCGTCCTCCGGGATCTCGTCTCCAGGGGCCTCCTCACCTCTGCCTCCGTCATCGAGCTGTGCTTCTTCCTCCAACAGTTCCACGACGCCCGTCGTGCCGCCAACTACAGGCCCAAGAGAAAGTAGTAGTTCCAGGCCGACCACACGATCAACTCAGAGCCAAGATCCCCACAGTTCCGTGACCGGGCCTCCGCCACCTGCGGCGTCATCGACGATCACAGTGACTACGACTATCACGACACAGTGCTCCACTACGTCCACGGCGGATACGAGCTTGCCAGATGATACTACGCTCGTGACGGCCACGGTGACCACGTCCTGCTCGACTACTTCTGCTTCGATTACTTCTGCCTCGTCTTCTTCTGTGTCGGCTTCTTCTGCCTCGACTACTTCTGTCTCGAGTACAAGTGAGCCAGACTACACCGAAATCGAGACGACAACCCTGACGACTCGATGTTTGACGACCTCACAGACTCAGACCACAAGTGAGCCTTCGATGACCATTATGCAAGGATGATTTACACCAAGCAACATCTTGTATTCGTTTGTACTGGGATCTGTCGTAGAGTTTTCGGGGAGATACTTTATGTAGGGTTTGGTGGGTGGGGGTGGAGGGCTTTTTTTTTTTATGGGTGTCCCAGGAACGCCACGTGCAGGAGCATAATAATGATCAACGTGAATTGGAATTTTTCTCCATAATTCTGAAGAAGCAATGCATGGACTGTAAGGGAATGCAAGCAGAGTCAAACTCAGTACTAGAGATTAAATGAATGCCAAGGGTGGCCCGATTGGGGAGGTGATCACCATCACATGTATGTACTATATGGAGGAAGTTAAGTAACTTAAGTACTACGCAATATAGGAGTACACGCCCACCTCGCTATATGATCAGCAGCCATAGACCAGGATCAAGACCTGCATGGTCAAAGCCAGAAGCCACCTTCTGAAACACTAAATCCACATATAATAGCAAACAAGCAAACAACTCACCACCAAATCCCCCTCACGCCCTATCCAACGTCCCACAACTGCAAAGAGAGACACATCAAACCCACCCACAGAACCGAAAAAAAA